GTTAAAAAAGCGTTGAAATAGTTAAAAAAGCGTTGATAAGCCATTGATTCTAGTTAATGTTTAACAAGGTTCACAAAAAACTTTTTTTTGAAAACGTATGCTTTATAGCGTCAATTATATGTCTGTCAAAATATTATGAAAAAAGTAATAAGCCTGGTTGTCATTTCTGGTTTTAGTAAATCCACTGATCCATTTAATAAATCTGTTTTTCATGAAATAATAACATATCGATCAAAATATTAAAAATATTCAAATATTTGAGATTAAACATTTAGTTAAACTGATGAAACATTTATAAAAATCATTAAAAAATATTTTTAGCAATTAAATTTTATTTATTTCTTAATAACTCACATAAAATATTTAAAGTTATTCACACATAGATATAACATTGTTGTCCATCACAATTCGTCGGCTTTCATACTGTTGACCAGGGCTAAAAGAAGTCGTGGTTCTATAACACTGGTCTATAAAATATTGAAAAATCTCTTTCAAAACCAGGATATAGAGCTATGAAAATGATTTGTGAATTCATAATTGTTTACGGTAGAGATGTGAACTGTTGTCAAGCTAGATGTGGTTAGAGCTACTCTAACTGACAAAGTTTCTTTACTAATTCGTTGCTTATTAAATATAATAACAATGGCCAGCGATATACAGCGATATAAAAGTTTACAATACATTATGAGAATTGCGTCGGTTAAACATCGTCTACCTACCCTGCAATTCACAAATATAAAATACATTTGAAAGAAGGTGAAGATCATCTGGAAAACAGGATTCACGCCCAAAAGAACATTGTAACATGGGGACGAAACTGGGACATCGAAGAACTTCCCAAACTCTAGTCCATTGTAAATCATTGTTACTAGTCCAAATGCTGGAAATACATTGGATTATTCTTTAATTTCAAACTTTTGTTTCTTATTAACATCTAATTTCATTCACTTAGGATTAATGATGTCGGATTCACTTAATACATTAAAGAAATTCCACACGTACAGTATGCTTTGTATATATATATTAATTATGATAATAGCCGGCTGGCTACTCTATTATATTTCATTCAAAGTATTGTTCTATATCTGCAAAATTTATTTTTCTGACAAGATAGCTTGTTTGTAATTAAACACAAAGCTATACAATGGGCTATTGGTGCTCTGTCCACCACGGGTATCGAAACCCGGATTCTAGCTTTGTAAGTCCGCAGACATACTGTTGTGCCACTGGGGGGCGACAAGATAGTTGTTTCCTAATCACAAAAAAAAAATTTTTTTCTTAAAGCTCGTAGAAATATTTAAAATAATATGCAACAGTCTTTTTTTAAATTACAAAAATAACGGTATTGGCCAAACTTCAATAAAACCTACGTAAGACAAAAAAGAAATAGAAATCACGAATGTTTCGAATTTCGTTTACTATGATATGATATAACACACTTTCAAATTGATGTATAGATGTTGACATAAAAGGTATAAATAAACAAATAAACCTTAGCAATTCGAACTGGAATTATGCAAAAAATTATATAGTGGTATAATATTTTGTATTGTTTTAAAACCCTTTCTTCAAGATGCCCTTACACGACTTAGTTCGATAAACATTATCTATTCAGTAAATATGAATTATATCACTTGCTACAGGCTAAAACTAGATGTCAGTTTGTAGTAACTGCATTTTAATAATTCTACTGACGTTTACCACGAAGTGTAAATTTAATGAACTGTAATAATAAATACTCAAATCTTAAAGTTTTCTCTCTGAAATAAAAGTATTTTATTAATTTTGTTTGATTTTTGTTAAGCACAAAGCTACACGATGAGCTGTCTGGGCTGTGTCCATCATGGGCATTGAAACCCGGGGTTTTAGCGTTATAAACCTTAAGACTTGCCATTAGGCCACTGTGAGTATTTCATTACGTAGATTCTCAAGTAGAAAAAAATACAAATTTTAACCTTGAAAATTATACAATGCTATAAAATAATAAGCATTAGATTAATATTTAATTCGATGAGCTTCTTTGAAAAAAAACAACAACAACAACTCAAAATATAATTGTTTGAAAAATGCACAACAGTTACTATAATCACCTATTGCTCCAATCCTCAAGAACAAACTCCCGTGGCTTTTTTCACTGTATGAGTTATG